TTTGGGGTTTTTTTTTTTTTTTTTTTTTTGGAAAGAGAGGGTCTTGCTACATACTTCAGGCTGGCCTTGAACTTGAAGCAATCCTCACGCCTCAGCCTCCTGAGAGTTGGAATTATAGGCGTGCACCACCATGGCCACATTTTGGAGTAAACCTATTTTTCATTAATTTTTATCTTGCTATACTATGTGCATATATGCCTTGGAAACAAGAAAGGATTTTGGTAAGCCAAAAAATATTTACAAGTGTTGGGAACTTAAGTAGAGTTGTCCCTCAATAGCCATGGGAAAAGGGTCCCAGGATACCCCTCACCAAAAACCGAGAATATGCGTATCTTATATAAAACGTAGCATTTGCATACTGACATGCACATCTTTCTATACACTTATATTATCTCTAGCTTATATAAAATACCTAATGAATGTGAATGCTTAGTATACCTATCTTTTTATTTTTTTGATACTCGCGCTCTACAGCACTGAAGTGCTAACTATGGGCCAGGCACTGTTCTGAATAATTTACGTAGTAACTGATTTATCTTCACAACTCTTTGAGGTAGGTACTATTATCTCCTTATCATAGATAAGGAAATTTAGACACGAAGATTTAGCAGTTTTCCCCAAAGTCACATAGCTAATAAATGATGGAGCCAAGTTTCAACCTAAGCAGAGCTGTATTCTTTTTTTTTTGGTACCGGGGATTGAACTCGGGTCCTTGCGCTTGCAAGGCAGGCCACCGAACCGCTGAGCTAAATCCCTGGCCCGCAGAGCTGTATTCTTAACTACTCAAATTTCTGCTCAAAGAACAGAGCTCAGAAAAAAAGGAGCCCTGGAGTTTTGATTCTGCTCTGTTACTAGTAACAGCATGACTCAGAAACCCAACAAAACACCATCTGAATTCTATTTCTGATTATGTAAAATAAAGAATGTTACAGAGTGGACACTTGAGTTATGACTGGCCTCACATACGAACAACTTGGGTTGTGAATAGAATTTTAGTTTTAATTTACAACTGAAATCCTGAGTTATGACCTCAAATGCCAGTCTTTCCTGTGTGGGGTTAACTGGGAAATCCCGGGCCAGTGTCTAAGGACAATGAGATCTGCTTGGAAAAAAAGTGTGGCCTAAAATTATACAGGAGACTTTGAGGGCTGTGCAGAGGAGCCTGAGCCTTCCACTGAGCCCGTGGCTGACGGCACTGTCACCACAGCAGAGCCCACAGGCCTGCAGGTAGATGGTGAAGTTGAGGAACTGTGGAGGAACTCAGAGGAGCTGTCCACAGAGAACTTCAGCAACTTCTGGCTGAGCAACAGAGAAGGGCAGCTGAGGAGCTTTCTGAAAGGGAAGGGGAGCATCTACAATCAGTGCAGCAAAGCTCTTCTTCTGAGATAAAGGAAATCCTGAAAAATGGACAGAGCTACAAACATTTGGAGAGAAGACCCAACCCGACAGAGAGGAAGCCCATCGTTGCATTTGCTTGCTTAATGACAATGTCATGTCATACTACAGAACAGTGTTATGGAAAAGAGCCTTAGACCAGTTTTTCACTCTGAAAAGGTTGAGACCAAGCGAGCCAGAAGCAAGTCCTAGTGGGCGGGCTACAGACTTTCCTGAGGAAAGAAAGGACACCAGACAGCCAGATTCCTGATGTTCTTATGAAGGACTCTCTTTCCCAACCATAACCACCTTCCATTTCATCCTCCCTTTCTGCAAGCCAGAGATGTCAACATGAATGGTGTGTACAGTATGAAATTGTTGTTCCTGGTAAACAAGGCACATTTTATAACATTTGGGTGAATACATTATGAAAATTATTGGTGTTTCTGATAAATTATGCACATTATACAACCCTTTTTTATTATAAAAAGGTTAAGCGGTGCTTTAGGAGATTTGAAACACATTATAGCTATTTCTATTATTTCTCATGAGAAAAATAGTTCTGACTTGAAACCAACTTGCGTTACACCTAGCCCTCACAAATGAACTGAGTTCTTAAGTCAAGGATCCACTGTATTAGAATTTTGTTTTCTCACACAGGGTCTGTGTAGTTAATGATGGACTTGTACTTATTATGTAGCTCAGGCTGGCCTTGAACTTGTGACTTCTGTCTCAGTCTCCCAAATGCTGCAATTTCAGGTGCATGCCACCATGCCTTGCCATTTTTTTTTTTTAAGGTACTGTAATTGAACCCAGGGCCTTCACACTGAACTATACCCCCTCTAAGTCACTAAACTGCCCATTCTGAGCTCAAACTTTCAATCCTCCTGCCTAAGCTTCCCACAGTGCTGGAATTACAGGCATAAGCTACTATGTCTGGCTTGCACTAGAACTTTTTATGAACCAATCTAGCTTTTAAAATTTATTGTTCTATGGAAAAAGTCCATCTTTATATGCCTTTGCTTCACTTTCATCTTTATTTACTCTCTACTGGTTTCTTCCTATGATCTTTTCTATTACTTATCAAAGAATAATTTTCAGACATTATTTTCCTCTATGAAATTCCTTTGTGATCTCTCATCATACCTGTAGCTCTGAACTGTTCCCAGTAGCAAGTCTCATTCATGTATTATTACACATTATAGTAAACGTACAAAATAAAAATAAATACTTCAGTATTTGCTTTCAGTAATAACCTGATTTTTTTTGTTTTGTTTTTGGCTTTTTTGAGACAGGGTCACACTACATAGTTGAGACTGACCTGGAACTCACTATGTAGCCCAGGCTGGTATCAAACTCACAGCGATCCTCCTGTCTCAGCCTCCCGAGTGCTAGGATTACAGGTGTGCGCCACCATGCCCGGCATAACCTGATTCTTAATGTCAAACAACTTGAAACCAACTCTTCCCAAATAAAACTGCATCTTCCTTAAGTATGGGATCCTCATTTCCCCATGAAGTTTCAGACCACCCGTAAGACCATCCTTTCAGAAAAAACAATGTTCCTCATACCTGTAGAGGTTAATATCTGCAAAGGATTTGCTATTATTGATGGCAAACACACAGAGGAAGCCTTCGCCTGTCCTCATGTATTGGTCTCTCATGGCACTGTACTCTTCCTGTCCAGCTGTATCCAGAATGTCCAACAGACAGGTTTCACCATCTATAACTACCTGCTTTCGGTAAGAATCCTGGGGGTGGGGATGAGATTCAATTTTTATTAAAAACCACAGGAAATAGAATATTATTGCCAACAATAAATAAGCTTCTAACCATTCAAGTCCATTTCTGCCCATCTGGTTTGTTCCTCAAACTTAATATATAATCACAAACAGAAACTATTTAATGTCACCCTAGGAAAAAGCCCCAAATCCAATATGCCTTCAGGAAAGAAAATGTGGTCACTCTATTCCCAAAAAAGATGGAAAAAAAAAGTAGCTCAAACACTATCTCTCCTGTAGTCAGGTAACTATATAGAAATTTAGGTTCATAGCATATTACACTAAGCCTTGAACCAAGCTGCTTTGAGTTATTTTACTTTTACAATTCTAAACATACATCCAACCAATCAGAACCTACTTCTGGAAAAGAATCATTTGTAGGATTTTTTTTTTCCTGGATTTTGTTTGTTTGAGACAGGATCTCATTAAGCAGTTCAGGGTGGCTTTGAACTCACTATGTAGCTCAAGTTGGACTCAAACTTGCAGCGATTCTCCTGTGTCAGCCTGCTGACTACTGGGATCACAAAGCATGCTTCACCATGCTCAGTATATGTGTCTTTATGACTAAATATATAAGTATCTTTTGTTTCAGGAAAGATAATACCAAAAATGTCTTTCTCTAAACAGATTATACCTTTGGAAAATATTTCTGAATCAAATTCTTAATGTTTCCAATATATAAGTAATTTTTCAGGAAAAAAGCCATAATAATCATAGAAATATTTCTAATTTGGCTTTACGGTGGTAATTTTACTCATATTTTAATAATGTCATTGTAATTGGGAGATCTTTTCTGTGGCATCTAAAACTTACAAAATAGTCATCTGGGTGGAGGTTACATTAGTGTACACAAATGTAACTCAAGCTGAACACTAAGATTTATGTATTTTACTTACCTCAAAAAATGAAATTCTGAAAAATTTTTAAGTTTTTCTTGGTATTGGGAATTGAACTCCAGACCTTGTGCTAGCAAAGCAGGCATGACTGAGCTAAATCCCTGGCCTAAAATCTTTTTTATTTTTAATGGCAGCTGTATCAGAATTAGTTTACATTAAGTAAGTACTCAGTAGCTAGATGGTAAGGAAGGTCAGGGGTGGATTAAAATCACCTTTATAATTAAACCTTTCTTTTTTGTTTTTTGAGACAGGGTCTTGCTGTGTAGTTCAGGTTGGACTTGAACTATGCAGCCCAGGCTGGCTTTGAACCCACAGGGATCCTCCTGCTTCAGGCTCCCTCCCGTGTGCTGGGATTACAGGCCTGTGCCACCACGCCCAGCTAGAATTAAATATTTCTAAATTGAACAAAACTACAAAATTTAAAGACACTTAAGACATCATTTATTAAAGATCATTTGTAACATGAACTCTCATAACAAATCTTTAAGAAGGCACTATTATGCAGTGCTTTACCATTTACAGAAAAATATTATCTTTTAAACCAATTTCTTTAGCTGTTTAGTATCTCTAATAGAGTTGTCCTATGAAGAAAAAGAATGAATTCAATATTGAATTTGCAAGTTTACAGAGGGGTTAAAAACTGTAAACTAGGGGATTTAGCTCAGTGGTTCCACTGCCTGCCTCGCAAGCACAAGGACCCAAGTTCGATCCCTGGTATCAAAAACTGTAAATTTTACAAATGAATTCTACACAAAAAAGCTTTATTGTATTACTGAATAGGGTATACAAAATAACTTTTTGCTTTCTCTTCTTTACTTCTAAAAAATAAATAAAAGTTATGGGTAAGGGAAAACAAAGTGAAGGATAGATAAACCTGTGGACTAGCACTGGGCCTCACCTCTATGGTGGGATCATATTCATCAACAAAGTGGTTCTGGATTAGTTGGATGGTCAGTGCGCTTTTCCCAACACCACCTGCTCCAACCACCACCAGTTTATACTCAGTCATTTCACACCAGCAAGAACCTGTGGGAAAGCAGCAGTTTGGGTTAACTGGCTAGCTTGATCTACAATACTGCAAAGGTTTCTCTAATCAACAGTAACCGAAGCCAGTTGGAACCGTATTGGTTTCAAACACGTGACCCTCCATTTAGTTCTCAGAAATGACTCAGGAGGCAAAAATACTTGCAGGTTAACGTGTCAACAGATTCACGAGTTAAAAGCCTTCTACTTAACTCCACCCCGCTCTATTTTTCAACCGTGCCTGTTCCCCGCCCTCAGCGAAAGGTAAAGGACCCTCCCCACACACCCCTCGGGTTCTCAGCTGGGGGGGGTTCTCGATACAGGGACCCCCTCAATTCCCTGTTGGTCTCCAAAGATTGCCCCACATAAGGCCCCAAACGGACCCCCGCCCAAGGCCTTTTGTCTTCACTTTGTACGTTCTGCTCGATTCCTAGCATCAACAGGACGCCAGCATGCTCCAAAGCTGAGTGCTACGCACACCACAGCCTTACCTCAAGATCTGCTGTTCCAGCTGCAGACGGATTTAGGATCTCAACCGGGAAAAACGTTGAGGACCCCGGAACCGCCATGAACAGCCCCCACCAGGGAGCGGCACTTCCGGCCCCGCCCGCTACGTAATCAGTCGGCGCCCTGGGCGCACTATTCCCCGCCCAGGCCACGTGGGCCTATGACCTAGTCACGAGGTAGGCCGCGCCCTGACCCGCCCCTCCCTCCTGGGACGTTTCAATAATGAAAGCGCTAGGTGCTAGTGTCTCAAAAATCAGTAAAACTTTATTCGCTTCCATTCTTTCGCCATTAACATAAAATTGGAGAAAGCAAAAAATGTTTTGTGTTTACAAAGATAAATGGCCTCTTTACCCAGAGTTCGAAACCTCAAACGGGGAAGATAAGAGCGCCCTCCCCCACATCCCCTGAGCTGACCCTTGTCATCTTAAAACAAAGCCTCAGTCCTGTATGTAGCCAATTCAAGATGAGGGCCAAGGAATCAGACCTATCCATTCCCGTGATATAAAAGTCGAACAGAAGCTACACCAAGGGTCTGGTGCCTGTATTGACCAGGACACAGGAACCAGTCGGCTACTTTTAAAAAAAACAAGATTCATTTCAGGCACAACTTTTTTTTTATTTTTTTCGTTTTTAAATCAGTAAAAGAAACTGGGTCCTAGAAGCTGCAGTGATCTAAGCAGCAGCAAATTTGTGCATTCGTCTTTTTATTTTTCTTTAAATACGATTAAATTATCACACTCCTGGCACACTTCATTGGGATGAAATTCTGCACCATATGTACTATATGTAAAGTTATTAACCCCCACATCCCGGGGGGAAAAACTACTCTGGAAGATAATTTTCACTGAAATATAACCAAACTCTGTTAAGTGTACTGTGACGATTATAAATGATATGAAAAATAACATTTTAACATTTGGCCTTCAACTTAAGTAAATCGTTTTGCCTATATAAATTTTTGTAATTTAAAAAATGTCATATATTCTACCCTCCTATGGTCCTCAGAATTAAAGCATAAGGAAGAGGAAAGAAAAGGAAAAGAATGCAACTGATTGCTAAGGCAGAACACCTTGCCAGGAGTAATAATGAAGGTAGAGTATACACTAAATCAACCAGTGCAGAATTTCACAGGGCCAACAAGGTAACAGTCTATTTTCACTTATACAGGCGAAGTGGATTTTGCAATTACCAGTTGCGTTAAATGCACCAAATAAAGCTCCTAAAAGTGATACTATAAGGCGCCACCTTAAGTTCTCCAGGCTGCAACTGTGCATAATTTTAAAATGGTTTCTTAAATTTATTTATTTTTTTTAACATAACACGAGGAAGGTGTTAAAACTGGTGTAATAGCTCAATAGAATAAGTTTTCCAGATTTTGGGAGGGATGAAGAGGGAGATTTTCAGAACCCTTCACCAGAATCCCCCCAGCTTGATCATAGTGGATTAAGGATGTGCTTTGTGGATGTGGTTAGTCAATGACACCAGCTTGACGGATCTTTCTTTCTGCACCAAATCCCTGTAAGAAATAAAATTGTCACAGTTAACTAACTGGATGCATGAACTTCACTGTACAAGAAGAATACTTTCACACTTCCAGTATGTTCTATGAGAGTACAAATTCTAAGTCATTTTAACCGCTACCTGGTCTTTCCAGATAGAAACCTATTGTGAGCCCTCTTGACCCATTACATTAGCTATGGACAAAGTATTCAGAGGAGCATGAAATGTTCTTAATGAAAGCAAATATTACATTGGGCTGAACCAATGTGTAGGGAGCCTCAACTCCCTTCAAGCAATGCTGAAGCTCTTTGTTTCATCACAGCCTATGTTGTACCACACAGCATGCCGGTTGGCTGGCTTCCACCAAGCCTTGTACAGAATCATACCATTGAGTTATCTGGTCCCCTTGGCTGACGAAGAACCATTAGGCGAGGAGCACTGGCATCATCTACAGTGATGTTCTTCAAGCGATTGACCAACCGATCAGGTCGAGGGGCTGTAACAGCCTTGGGGCCCTCACTGTAACAAGTCAACAGGTGAGAAGAAACAACATTTGGCGAGAAGAAAGCAAGTGCTTGCAGAGGAGTATTTCTTAACTGCCCAAATGACTCACTTTTAATAAACAGGAATCTTGTTTCATCTAGACAGCAAGACAAGACAGACGTGTGTGTGTGTGTGTGTGTGTTTTAAATAAATCTATTTCTTAATTCAAGATTCCAACTGTATAGGAGCAGGAAGAATTATTTGGGTGAGGATCAGCTCTAGACTTGTCTGCAACCAGAGACCAATTCTACAAACACACAACACAATATAGCACATACAGAAAACCTTACAAAAGTGAAATATGAAGAAACACTTCCAGATTGTTTCTCACATGGCGACGTTACAATTAAAAAAAAAAAAAAAGGTATAGGAATCAGGATAACTTAAAAGCATAGAAATTTGGAGGAGAGGCAGTAAACAGTTCAAGCTGGTAATGGCTAGGTCAAAACTTGCAATCCTCCTGCCTCAGCCTCCTAAATGCCATGATTACAGGCCTGTGCTATGACACCCAAGAAACATTATAACTTTTCCCCCCAGTACTGGGGATCAAACTTAGGATCTTGAGCTTGCGAGGCAGGGGCAATGCCACTGAGCTAAATCTCTGGCCCTAAACATTATAATTTTATTTTATTTATTTATTTTTTGGTACCAGGTATCAAACTCAGGTCCTGGTGCTTGCAAGGCAGGCAGCAGAACCACTGAGCTAAAGTCCCCAGCCCTAACATATAATTTGGCTTGGTAGAATGAAAGGAGCTAATAAGCAGAATTCTTTAAGATCAAATACTAATCTTTTTATATTCAAGGTCTAGTTTAGTACAGTGCCCAGGGGCTTCACTGAACTAAGTTTATGAGACTAAACGTCTGGCAGTGAAGACTTATGGCAGGGACAGGACCAGAGGCAGAAAAGTATCAAGAAATAACCCCAAAAAATGACCAAGAAAGGGGGTGACACAAACCAGGCATAGAAGAGTATAAAGAAATGCGATAAAGGTGAGACTACAGAACTTAAGACAGTCCAGACTGTTTATTAATCCAATCACAACAAACTCACCAGACTCGCCAAACATTACAGGCACTGCATTTGCCAGTGCGCTGGTTAAGAATCACTGAGAACTCCACCTCGTCTCCTGCCTGTAGCTCAATGCCATCCTGAACTTCTTTCACGTGGAAAAAGAGCTTCTTGCTATCTCCTACTTCATAGTTAATGAAGCCAAACTGAACAAAAACAAACAAAAAAGCAATAGCTGAAAAAAGAGGACATTCTAGAAGCAACAAAAGTACCTTACTTTGAAGCACAATGCCTAGTCAGAAAGAGGATTTATAAAACAGTATTAGAGCTAATATTCTTACTCAAAATTTGCCAGGAAGAAACATCTTTAAAATCACTATCATACATTTTATTGTACATTGGCTAAAACGAATAAAGGTTGTACTCTTCTGTATATATTTAAATTTGGGAAGGAGAGGAGGGAAGTGGAAGAGGATTAAAAAAAGAATTAAAATATTATGTACACATACCAACTCTGAGAAATGTATTATGTATTGCAAATATGTACCAATAAAAATGAATAAAATTTGGGGGTGGTGGGTGGGGTGCGGCACTGGGGACTAAACCAAGCTATACACCCACCAGACAGGGGTTTGCAAAATCAAATTGCCAGGCTCAAATTTGACACCATATTGCTTCAGTCTCCCAGAGTAATTGCATTACAGGCAAGGACGACCACATGTGGCTTGAAATGTGTTTTTTGAAGTAAGAAAAACCATTAGGTTCCTTCCCTTCTAGAATTAAGCTGGGTATGGTATTAAAGGAAACAGCCATACCATATTATGTAGTGATACACCTCACGCTGTTGAACAGCTCCAAGCTTAAACTTTCTGGGACTTAAATAGCAAAGTTGTCATTTGGAACTTTGACCAATAGTTGAACCAAAAATCCGACTTGAAAAAAACCATGATTTGTGTCTCACGGCTTCAGTCTAAGTGCCTCTCTCACCCAAACAACATATAGAGCTTGTGTTACTGCGTTAAAATATTAGTCACTGTGCTTTAAATTTTTTTTCATTTTATTTACATAAAACATAATAACCATAGCTCCCAAGAAAGTTAGTGATACCAGAAGTAAAGCTAAGAGGAAAACTGAGAACTATGACAAAGAAATTATTGTAAAATTAAAGTCCTGGAAGAATGTATAAGTGTAATTTCTGGACCTCAGAGCCAGTTCCTTGATTTTCCATTATTTCTCAAGGGAAAAATATGTTCAGTTCCCAAACTCTGGCATTCAAACACAAATTTGGAATGAAGCAAGTTCTACAGGTGAGATATCACCATATTTATTGCATAGATGTTGAAAAATACTCTCTGTAAACTTAGAAATCGCCGAGATTTCAGTACTAGGACTGTTTTCATGCTGTTTACTTTATAAACACTGTAAAACATGGCTTCTAAATGTGATCTGCCAAAGATCAGAACACAGTGTACAAAATCTTGTATAGTTCTTTTTTTTTTTTTTTTTTTTTTTTTTTTTCCCGGATAAAACTTTGTTTTTTTTTTTTTTTTTTTTTTTTTTTTTTTTTTGCTTTTACCAGGATAGAACTATATGGTTCTTTTATTCTGGTTTCAGTCCAAACTCACTTTCCTCATGATGTAATATTAGTTCTTAATTATTAATTCTTGTATTTTCTTTGCTAAGGCAGTTGCTTTTTTCTCTTGTAGCTTTAATATTTTCATAAGCTATCCCAAACCACTTCAAGTAATAAAGTAAACAGAATCAAATGAACGTTAATGACGCCCCCTTGGCTAAAAAATGGTTATGGTTTTATTTACTAACACTCACACATGCAGAAGTGCTGTACTTACCTGATCTTTCACACACTCCACTGTGGCCCTACGCAGGGGTGTGATGTTATAGGCCATAGTCTGTGCATTTTGGCCCAGAACACACAACTGGAACTTAACACTCTCCCCTTTTTGCAGGCAATCCCCTTTGTTGGCCATCCCAACTATGCCAAATGGATACACCTCACCTTTCATATCCCCTGTAATGAGAAACAGTACAAAGTCTAAAAGTTAA